ATATTATATGTTATTGATTATACAATTATTATTTTATATATCGTTTAATTGTATCCATATTGCTCTAATCAAAGTTGCGTTTTATTATAAACGTACAATTTTACAAATCAAACATTAATATTTGAATTTCGAAAATCATCATTTTCACTTTTTATTATTTTTTTGATTTTTTATTTAAGAAGATTTACATACTCACGCGATATTTTTTGGGTTTGGTGAGCTCAAATAAATTTGAGAGCACCCATAATCTCAAACGTATTCAATTTACATTATAAATGTCATGCATATTAAATTTTGTAAAATAAAAAATATTTATCTATATGAGAGATATAACATTTGATCTTTGTAATTTATAATTTTCTCGTATATTATAAAAATTAGAATTTTTTTTAATATTTTAATCTCGTTTGATGCACATCTAGTTATTTATTTATTGAACTTGACCGAAATGACAGGAAACTCTGGACCTTTTGGCTTGATGATTTTTTAATCTCCTCTCGTTTTGGATTTACCATTTCTTACCTCTTTACCACAACTGTAAGAAATTGCCGATAAGTGTTACGAAGTGTTTTGTTATCCTTATCAACTATTCATACCTAAATGTTTTACTATCTATACTTTAAATCATGACAAATAGAATATCATCTGACAAACATTTTTGCATTAATTTGCTTAGATGTCAAGTTCTCAATTCTTTGGAGATTTTAATTAAAAATTAAATTTCATTATTAATTTTTTACTATACTATTACCCAAACACTCCACTATCCTATTTATTCTCTACTATACTGTTATCCAAACAATACACAATCATACAATCTTTACAACCAAACATCATTAGAAAATATTTTTTTGGATTTGTATTTTAAAAACGAAAAATAAAAGAAAGTTTACTATTAATATTCACCTATTCTTATAATTACCTTAAACCTATACAATTCAATTCATATTTGTAATCTTTTATTTTGTATATTTGAGTCATAAACCGTATTTTTGAAGATTATAAAAGTAAATAAATACATTTTATTAGTAAGTGATATATTGACTAAAAAAAAAATTCAATTATTTAACGGGTGAGATGCATTTCTATACAAAAGAGTTGCAAAATTCATATATATAAACGAGTTTTAGATTCCGTATAATAATTTTTCCAATAACTATAAATAATGTTTTAAACTAAAACTAGATTAATTTTACTCGCGTATCATATTATCCCGCATATAACGCATGTAATTATCTAGTTATTTATTAACCACCATGGTATTTTAATTTCTTATACTAAAAATGAGCTTCTAATTTTTTATTTTTTTATATTCAACAGTGATATAATAATGGAAAAAGAATGACAGCTAGTAACTGTGGAAGACACATGGGGAAGTCAAATCAAATAACAAGGTATGGCTCCCTCAATCTATAGCATTTTTTTTCTTTTCCAAATGAATAAAGGTCAAAATAGATTTGATGATCTTCAAAAATTTATAGAGTTAAAGATTTTTTTATAACCAATTCTCAAGAGTCCACAATCGATCGACCGATATTGGATGAGCGATGCGAGTATATGATAATATGATAGTATCAACTTGACCCGATCTTATGATGTAATGTAAATACGCGTACACTACATCAATATTTTATGATATACTGAAAAATACTAAACCAGATATGTATACATTTTTGACATGTAAGACACAAAGAACATAGAGTGTGAATCAAACCCATGTTTGAATCGAAATTAAGATATCGATGCAAGTTCTTCTAATTTAAATCAGATCGATTCATATCTGAAAGAATTTGATAATACATTCTTCATCGACACATCAAATTTCATCTACGTATAACTTTTTCTGAAAATTACTATCTACGTAACTTCACAAAGTGTGTTTGTTATGTTTGACATATATCAAAGAAAAAGTAATTTAATAGGCTATAAAATCCATTTCTTCATCAAAACTTAGCATATTTTTTAACCCCAATCAAAGGTTTTTTTCTTTTTTGAAACTTCCCAGTCAATCATTTCTGGGAATTTTCGAAAAGGTTAAAATCATTTCTGGTCACGAAATGAGTGATTTGCAGGACTTATGAGACTAAAAAGACAGGTAATATAATAATATCGTAAAATCATCATCACGTTCCCACAATAAATTTCATGTAGAGGAAGCCAGCCAAGTTTAGAATGGCCCTCATTCTTATCTCAAACCAGCTTGACCCGTCCCCGTGTCTAGTGATATATCACTTCGGTCTGGTCCAAAGACTAGTTTAAATTGTTTCGAAATTAAAAATCGTGAAACAATGATTTGTTATATAGTTCAGTTGATTAAGAGTTCAATGTTCCTACAACATCCATAAACAGTAATTTTTGCGGATTATATATGGATGCAAAACTTATTGGATGTATAATTTTTTTTGTCATAGCCTCGTAGTTACAGATAAAACCCGAAAACATCAA